CTAACACAGCTACATTTCTATCAGCGTTTTGCAAGGGAGTGATAAAGACTGTGCTTACTTGCATGCTTTTAATAAGCAATCTTCCTATGACAAAGGCACCCATTTTAAAACGCAACAGAGCTCTGGTGTAAATACAGCAGCATGGCACAAAATCCGGCCTGTTTGTTCTGTGAAATCACTAGCACCCTGGAGAGTAAAAACACCATCACACGTCTTTTTAAACGCAACGTCCTGAATGAATTGTGCCCCTTGACTGATGTGTAAAATACCCAGTTCTGTAGAGCCCTGCAGATCTGCAGATATCTACTTAATCTACATGGTATCCGCATTGGCAGGTGTGAATGCAGATATTCACGACTCATTTTTGTGGATGCGGATACAATTTTTTTAGCTAGAACCCTGCAAATTTGCAGCTCCCCATGGGTGCAGATACCCACGGATCATTTTTGTGGTGGCAGATGTGGATGCAGATTTTGTACCCGTGCTAGGGATGTGCATGGTTAATCAGTTTACGGGTAAGCCTTACCCTTAATGGGTGAGGCATTCTGGTTCCAGTTAACCAACGGGGGCTGAAGCTGTGGACCAGGGCTGCTCTGGCCTCCCGGTGGGAGCAGGCTTGATTTTGCGTTTGCAACATTCAGCGCTGGATTTGCTCTTCCAGCAGCCCGGGAGCCTTGCCCGGAGCTTAGCCCACAGCCCAGCCTACAGCTGATGGTCATGGCCAGGATCGGGAAGGAATCAGATTGGCAGAGACCTGGGTGAGTTTCACCTTCCGCTGCAACATGGAGCACGAGGCACTTGCTGTTCAAGCCTGTGAAACAGGCGGATTCTCTGTCACCCGCGTCTTTAAATACAGCTTTGAGGGTTTCAGTGACTCAGCCAGAGGTTCAGGGCCTGTCACGGGGCGGGGAGAGAGTGTGTGTGTATAGGGGGGTTCTGTGGCCTGCAACGTGCGAGGTCAGGCTGGATGATCCCAAATGGTCCCTTCTGACCTTCCAGTCTGAGTTTTTGAGCAGCCGCGGGAGAGATGCGACCTCGTTCCCAGGGCTTCTCTTGTGCAGGGAAACGTTGGGCTGCATCTCACGGTTCTGCCACCAGGCGGTGCTGCCTGCGCGGCGCCTTGTTCCAGCTCACTCCCGGGTCAGAGGGAAGAGCTGGGCGCATCGGAGCGGGTCCAGAGGCCAGCCACAGAAGTGCAAGGTCTAGAAGCCAGGAGCCAGGCCGAAGGGCTGAGAGAGCCGAGCGTGTTTGGTGTAGAAAGGAGAACCCCGGGGGGAGGGGGTGAAAGGCTTCAAATATGTGAGCAAATTACCACGGGGATAGCGGCCGGTTGCCGGCCACGGCCACGGAGGGCAGGACAAGAGGTAATTGGCTGGATCTCAGGACAATCGTTGACGGGGCCGAGGGAGGTTGGGGAATCCCGCTCCGAGGAAGGTTTTAAGAAACGGTTGGACAGACGCTTGTGAGGGATGGTCTGGGCTCACTCGGTCCTAGCTCAGCGCCGGCCGATGGAGATGCCTACCAGCCCTGTGAGTCGATGAAAATGAAGAAACTTTTCCTGTTAGAAAAGCCTGAGCAAGGTACAAATGAGGGATGGTTGCCGAGCCTTTCGGTGCATGTGAGGCTCGTGCGAGGTTTTAAGAAACGGTTGGACAGACGCTTGTGAGGGATGGTCTGGGCTCACTCGGTCCTAGCTCAGCGCCGGCCGATGGAGATGCCTACCAGCCCTGTGAGTCGATGAAAATGAAGAAACTTTTCCTGTTAGAAAAGCCTGAGCAAGGTACAAATGAGGGATGGTTGCCGAGCCTTTCGGTGCATGTGAGGCTCGTGCGCTGCC